ACATGGTTAAACGCCAGGAAAAATAATATGAACGATTGGAGCCCAATATTCAGCAACACGTCGTTTGAGATAACTGAAGGAGAAATGTGTTCTAGATAAGCTGTTTTCCGTTTGATTTAATTCTGATGAATTGAGCTTAGATATTAATATTATATTGTAAATGGAGGTCGGTAAATTGTATTCATTTCCTGCACACTTTCATTAACCCTGTTTTTCTTTCTTAATCCGTCAAGTAATTACAAACAAAAGTAATCTCTGTCTCACAATGCTCGAGCGCGGTACTTATTTCTACCTTATGAAGGGATGGTCTGGCATGACACTAATTTCCGCCGTGCTGAGGGATATTTTAGTGGACACTAAATCCCGCCTTGTTTCTGATGATCTGGGTCGGCTCCAGATCGTGACGAGGACGATGTCATTCAATCCTGGTACGGCGGGAGATGGTGTGTCGATAGGACGAGCAAACGTGTACTACATCAAGCACAAGGAGGGTCCAATTATTACGTAGCGACGACAATCCAATCATATATACAGTGTGGGCTGCTTACACAAAAGGGATTGTACTATCCAATAAATAATGTACCTTATTCGTTTTGACGTTTGTGTAAGCGATAACTAAGTATCTGTTTAAAGTGTTGTGGAGATAAGAGTCGGTCGATATTATGGCGCCTGCTTCTGTGTGATCCTCAGCGTATGGACACAACCGTGGGCAAACCACCTGATCGCTGGTCCTCGTGGACCCCACCCCCGAGTCTACTGTGGCACTTTATAATCAGTTCTTATCCATCGTCAATATCCGCGCTGTTTTAATTAAATAATCGTTCGGATTGATATAAGTACACAACGTTAAAAAACAACACCGTTATCGAAATGGTATGAATCCTACTTAAGGCTGGTAGATGTTCTTGTTAAACTTCCATAATTTTTATGCAAGTGTAACGTAAATAGTTGATATGTAATAATGTACGTGTTTTTCAATGTATAAATACATATGTGATAATGTTGGTGACAGAACACTTCATTCATGATTAACTCATTCCCCTCTGAGGGGGGGGGGGGGGGGAGTTAATGGCAGCAAATTTGAATTACAGATTTACAATATATGTATGGGAAATGTTACGTGACGTGTTTTTTCTGAGGCAGCAGAATCCCGTAGAGTTACTATTCGAAATATTTGACGCGTACTTTACAAAACCTACGAGTTAATTGTTATAATGCATATAGATCACTGTAATATATGATAGTCCGCTTTTGAATTATAATGAATTCATTGCAACCTCGAAGAATGGACAATTTGGAAAAGATCAGAATCGGATCGGAAGTAGAGACGGATGCACTTTCCTCCGGACCATTATTCGGAATATTTACACACAAACGGCTAGGCCCTGTTTTGCATCTTAATCATGACGACAGTCTTACTTTATAACGTACGGATCATCTCTGCAAACGGAAATATACTGTACAACAGTGCAAGCTGTTGGCCGTGAAGCAGCGATAAGGAAGATATTGGGAATAACCTACATGTATTAGCACCGTCGGTTCAGAGTCTAACTGAAAGCTTACCCTTGGCCTACTAGCCTACCAGCGCAAGGTAGACAACTCAACGATAAAAAAAACCATGAACACAGATGCCATGTCAAGGCTCTAACCTAAACCAGACTTTGAATGTATATCCACAGGGCAGATGTGAAATCGGTTGGTTAGAGTGGTTACGCACAAAAGTTACACATTCTAGTATTAACATCGTCGGAGACACCAATCATTGGGACGGGAGCCCAACTGAGATCCCGTCAAAGGACCATATCTTTATTTTGTCTAGAGCTGATGTCTTGAGCCCAACCTATACCGCTGGCTTGACGCATTAACGGGTGTCCGCGTAGTGACTTTCAGCAGCCACAGATTGATGGCGGAAGCGACATGGTAACCCCTCAGGAACAAATCATGTTTAAGAGCAGCAATCCACAATACTGGACATGTCAGCGTCCATAGGATCACAGCATGATGACAGGATTGTTTTTATTGTTCATCAATGACAACTGACGTAACGAAATGGATCGCAGGGTGTTTTCGTTGTTTCTATAGAAAACCACCCACCTATGGGAACGCATTTACGGTTTCAATCAGCACGATGCACCAGTTTGAGATGGTTTGCACGGCTATTTTGTTTAAGAGACACCAATGGGGAATCACCAGCTGCTACAAGTTATCACAGAACCGTCACTTCGTGTAGTGTGGACATACCAACTAAGCATCAGTATATAAATCTCAGAGGGGAAGGAATAATTTGATTAAGGACGTAGAAACGTCTCCCAGAGTTGGTGATCTGGTTGATGTCTTCAACACCGGTTTGTCCACTATGATTTTGTATAAAATGCCAAAGTAAATGTCGCGGAGACCATAAACAGCCATAAATAGATTGGTCGGAAGTGGTTGTGTCCTTTTGACAACAAAATCAATTTCTTTGTTGGCATTGACTCTTTGTCTTTGTCTGTAAACGCAAGAATTGAAAGTCAGCACCGGACACAGCTTTGGCAAATCTTTAATGGTCATTTCTCAGTATTATATAAGATGCTATGGTTCACCCACACTTGTGGACTTGAACCTATCCAAAGAACCTCTTGACACCACGTGTAAATGAAATTCTCCCTCTCATTAGCAATATAATCATGAAATCTTTGATCAATTGATTGAATCGTTCTTATGTTTCGCCTTCTGTTAAATACACTGGTGTTATACATTAATTTTAATCTGCGTCCAACTTGTCGTTTCTTTTTTCAGAATTCTAAACAAAGTAGTTTTTAAGTAAAATACATTGAAGTCACCAAATAATCTGCTCACCGAAAACGTCTCTGAACAGGGCTTCTCTGTGTAGTTATTGGATTTGTCTCGGCCATAGATTAGCTGTTGAGCAGTTCTGGTACTATCAGATATATACACTGCATTTGAAGTAATAGATCTTAGCATATTGTGAAAGCGAATGGAATATATAGTATATATCTTGATGAACGTGCGTGGATCAAGTCCTGTTTAACGGACATGAGCCAACAAGAGGTAAAAAGCAGAATCCCGATCATCCTGTGAGCAAAAGACCAAGTACACTTCACTTTGTGTATCATCGGCAATAATGGTCTGGCGGCATAACTGCTATAGATTTGTCCAATTGATTTCGAAAAAGACGAGCGATTTCTTATTTTAAATGCTGAACATTATTGTTTTGGAATGAAGAAGAAAAATAATCATCCCAGAGCCTTGGGTTAGACAACTACACTGGAAGACACCTCCCCTAACAGTTCTACATACTGGATTGATTCCAGGATGTTACCTACAATCAAACTCTGCAACAGCTGATTGTAGATGATCTAAGAATAACTTTTCTTCCTTCAAATCTCTCTTCTCTTACATTACCATACAATTATGGTACAGCGTGGGACGAAAAGGTGTGATCTAAACATTACCCAGTATGTAAACCTATGCATTGAGAGGCTTAAAATTATTGAGAAAATCCTACCATCAATTGGGATGTGGAATTCAAGATTCTAATGGTTTCTGCAGCGGGCGACTACGCAAAACAATGGGCATACATAATGTAACTAGATCATCTTTATTGGATTCCCTTTCTCTCTTGGCCGGTTTGATTTTGTTTATATATTAATTCGTCAAATAGCGTATCAGTACAAATAATAAAAAAGACCGTGTAAAGTCATTTAAATAAACGTTCAGATAAATAACGGATGTGTTGCCTTTAAAAAACAATTGGTTTATTGATCACGTTGATTGATCGAATATATCCTCCTAAACTTGCACTCAAAAACATCAAATACTCTTCTGCATAGCCTATTACATTATTCTTTACTAATATGACCGAAAGAGATAACGTATAGGGACCGCAGAACCAAATAATTTTCCATAGACGATAGTGTTAACGTTTACCACTGTCCTGGTTAAATGGGGTTATCCACACTGGTTTACCTGCCCTCATCTTGAAGTATATCATCTCACACAACTGTAAATTACATCTATATNACCTGCCCTCATCTTGAAGTATATCATCTCACACAACTGTAAATTAAAAAAAAAAAAAATCTGCCAATTTGAACCTTTTTTTTATGTGGGGGCCGCCATCTTGTATTGAATTCGGCACCAAAAATCGACCAAAATTTACAACAAATTACACACTCACCCAGACAAAAGCAGGCTTGATTTTTTTTTTTTTTTTTTCATATTACATCTATATATATTTCTCAACCCCCACAAAAAACTTTTGAAACTTCTGCCCCCTAAATATCCAACCAGCAGGCCCCGAGGCATTCACCTTCCTATTTAGTATTCTGCCCAAAAGGGGAAAACCGACAATCTATTTTTGATTTGGTTCCGTGGTCCCTATAACTAAGCTGTAAGATATAGTCGTCATCAAGATCTAATTGGGGTATATCATTATGTTGTGCGAAATGAAGGCCGATATGTTTGTTTCTGCCTTATTGTTTCATTACCACTACTACACTTCTCGCTTTTAGGACGTGATATTATTTGGGTTTGACATGATGTCGTCTTTGCACAAGATAAATGCCTTATTCCGCGATAAATTATTCACATTCCTTTAAATGATTTGGATGGGAAAAGGAAATATTTGAAACCAAATATCTTTTTCAAAGTCTAGATTTACTATTTGGCCGTGTAGCATTGTTTCATCGAGTTACAAAAGGTATGTTTTTGCAAATATTTCATGACTGGTTTGCGAATTCGTGCATGCATAAGGGTGCTATTGATCGCCATGTACATCTTTCCTTTAGATATTTAGCCCTGGTTTTATTGTTTTTGAGTGCAAATTACGGTTTTGGACACTTAGGTATTCTCTTGTTATTGTTACTGTCTTGCTAATATTTTCGTCATACATTTAACTTATAAAATTCCCTCCTTTTAATAGACGCATTCCATGGTCCGTTAAAGTAGGAGTAGATGATGCCTTATTTTTGGTAACAGTGTCGTATTTCCTGTTTCAGTTGACTGACGAGGAACGTGTGTATCTGAATGCTGCGTCGCTTGGAGACGCAGGGATTGTACGTGAAACGTTAGAGGAAGAAGAGCAAGACGGAACTCTTAACGCCAACTGTGTCGACTACATGGGGCGTAACGCGCTCCACCTAGCGGTCGACAGTGAGAAAATTGACGTCATTGAAATCCTCCTGGACAATCTGTCCTTCAACTGTATAGAAGAAGCACTTCTACACGCAATCAGCAAAGGTGCTACAAAAATCGTCAAAGTGATATCAGAACATCCTAACTTCATCGCGGGAGAAGATAGATTTCTTATATCAGGAGTAAACGAGGCTTTCTTCAGGACTGAAGAAAAGAGTCAGTTTCCTCCTGATATAACACCTATAATTCTTGCTAGTCACTACAATAACCATGAAATCGTGCAGATGTTCTTGTCTAGAAACCATAGGATAGAAAAACCACATGCTATTTCTTGTAGATGTTCTGACTGTATCTCAAAGCAGAATTATGACGCATTGAAAAGGTCAAGGTCGCGACTTAGCGCATACCGGGCACTGGCCAGCCCGGCCTACATGGCGCTATCCAGTGCGGACCCCATCATGGCCACATTTGAACTGCGACAGGAAATGATGCATCTTGCGGAAGTTGAGAAGGAGTTCATGGTACGTCGGTAAGCATGTTATACAATGTCACAGTACTGACCCGTTTACAAAATGACCGCTTAGTATTTACTGTAGAAAGTTTCCATGATCTAAGAACAGTCTTATTTATAATTCGCCATCTTATTTGAGGGATATAGTGTTACCAACATCCATCCAGTCCCCTTGCGTCCCAATCCTAAGCCATTGCTCTTGCGGATTCATTTATCGAACTCCATAATAGTAAAGTTTAAGAATACTTTGAATGGGTTTGTGTTTAAGTGAATCATGGCCAGACCAAGATCATCGTAATTATTATAGAATTATAAATGTCAAAATTCTAGCGACCGCATTTCTGAATTGATTTTGATCAAACGTTTTGGGAAGGTCAGTTATAAGAATACTTCGGGTGAGTTTCATCAGTTGAATCATGTTTTGTTCCAAATACTTCTTTGCCTGTAAGCAAACTTCGTGTCAGCTGCATCACGTGCTCCCCCTGATGCCTTTAGAAAAGTGGCGACATAGGGACCTTATTGACACTTACCTTGTCTCATTTCTAATAATGACTCCCTGGTAAACTGTCTGTTAAGGATGCCACACATGTCTTCCTGATGAGTCATACTGAAACCCCCCCTCCCGATAGCTCGCCTCACTGACCACTTTTGTGTTTGTGTTTTTAAGGCTGAGTACCTTGGTCTGGTGGAACAGTGTATGAACTTTGCTTGTGAACTGATGGACATGTGTCGCGGGACTCAGGAGGTGGAGGCCGTGTTTAGTGAGGGCACGGGCTGCGAAGAGAACGTCCGCCTCGACCCTCTCGCCAGACTAAAGATGGCTATACGCTACAGGGAGAAAAAGGTAAGGGCAACCCAATACTGATAGAAAAACGGAAGCCTTGCCAAATCATATATGTAATCGAAAGCCTTGCCGCTGATCCGGTTTGTAATAACTAACCCGGTTCAAATGAACAAGATTTTGTCAGCAGGACGACACAAGTTTAAAAAGAAATTAAATACTAGCCGTGCTTACTGTTTGTAATGTAATTGCTAAGTGGTTTCAGATGTTCTATCCTTGATAAGACACATATACTGCTTCGAATACCAGCATGAGCATGTACCTACCGAACCAAAGCAGAACAATATGAAAACGCACACAGCAAATAACCGTTAAAATATTACAATGAACTGGCAATTGATACACATGTCCTTCATTTAATGTTAAAACCTGCAAAAGGGTGATTTTTACTGTTCATTCAAGTTCAAATTATATAAACATTATCTTGGTGTTAACTATGATGAAGAAAACATCCTGATCACAGTTTAGATAGTGAACCAGGTGTCGTTTGAGACACAATTTTCGTGCACTTTCATTTTCGAAAAAACTTTCAACCACAAAACATGTAACAGTTTGATAAAAAAAAAACAATGTTTAACGACATAAGATCGGTATTGGATACCCCTTGGAATATACCAAACATCAGGATCTTAGTACGACGCACATGCTGAATAGTTTGTTATGCATTTACGATAAAACATCAACCTTACACGTCCAACGCGAGCTAAGTAATATCCATGCATTATCATTCAAATAATATTGAACATAAACATGTGTTATAAATGCCAACATAAAAACGGACAATTCCGGAGATTATTAGGGTGTAGTAAGAATAATAACCAATTAGTTAAGAAACAAAAGTATGTTTGGAAATGGAGTTTCAGTTGAAACATCGAATGGATACATATATATATGTATGATTTCTCTAAAATTTAAAACAAATGGAAAGCATTTAAAATATTTTCAAACTGGTGTTCTACGTAAAAGTACACGTCGTATGTCTAATCGAGTGGAATAGTGACTTGCAAAATCGTTCATCAGATATAAAATATTAAGCTCCCAATCTTGAGAAAGATTGACAAAACAAATTGTAAGAATCTGCAGAAATATTGTTTGGTGGGGTCAACATGTGGCTGACACTTTGATTTCCTTTATTCTTTTGCCATAGGTAGATACATACAAAGGATCAATAAATGCATATAAATGATTATTCATAATTGTTACTGATAACCGTAGTGGACCTCCTTGCATAACACCAGGTTGAGTGACGGGGCTATCCTAACAAAATGACCGATAAATATCACAGGCAAATGTTAATTTGGAAATGAATTATGATAATGTATAGTGTATCAGATTACTGTTATTTTGATACTAAATATGTTATATTGGTAGACATAAAGTAAGCGTAGTGATACTTTTGATTGGAAAAACATGCAAAATGTTTACAAAATTTAAAATATAACTAACATTGACAACTTGCCTGTATATAGTTACAATGGTAGTCTGTATTTTAAACTTATTTTAAAACATTATATATATGTATTCTGTCTACAGAATCATTTTTATGTAATATCAAAACCGGTAAAGTACTTGTTTAGCAT